AACTGTCGACTCTTCGTCTTTTTTTTCCCCTAATTTATTTTCTCATTTTTTATATTTGTTTTCTTAATTTTTTATTTAAAAAAAATAAGAGCCCTTTTGAAATGTTTCCTTTTCACGCTTTATGTAGAAAACAAAAGTTATAATCGTAAATCAAGGTTTTGCAACCAACCCCTTTGATAATATACATACAATTTACAACTACAAAATGGATCATTGAATTCAGACAACATTTCGATTAAAATTTCAAAATCATGAATTATATAATGTTTTGGTAAATTTAAGATAAAACCCGAACTTGGATATTTTACAAAATAAAATAAACTATTTATTTCGGAATCTGTATCAAAAATACGAAATTTATAAAATATAATAATATGAGGTGAGTCCTCTTCTTTTTTTATTTTTAATTTTTTTAGCTCCACGGTGAATTGAATTGAGTCTAAGTGCGATAATAACTCAAACAAGCTTTACCATTTAAAGTCTCGTCACATACAAATATAGTATATGAACAAACAAATAAATAAATCCAAGTATTTCGTCGTAATTTTTTCAATTTCACTCTAAAATAAGCATTTGCCAAAAACCCGATATAACGGCCCTAACCGGACCAAGAACCAAGAACCGGTATAAAATTATCAAACCGGAGATTCTAAACGACCGAATACATACAAAATTCTTCAAATTTAACCAAAAAAGAGAAATGTGCGTGTTAAAAAGAGTAGTAATTGTAACATGCATTTTTTATACGAAAAGGAAATATACATACATATGTTAAATTATATACGTATACGGTATACGGAAGTGCTGAGTGAGGGGAAAGACCCATGATTTAGTAAAACATGAAACAAATCTTGTGTGTACAGATAAGAAAGATACGGTTGCTCATAATCATACAGACATAGTGCGATTTAATAAATTATATTCTATACACCAATATATATTTTATATTAATTAGACCATTGAGACAGTATAATTAAACTTAGGATCATATATTATAATTGTTTTATTAAATTAAAGTTGAAAATACTTTGCTCTTCCAATCCCCCCTTGGAGCTTTCCTTTTGGTGGCACCAAACCACTCTCCACCGCTTTTCTTTTTCATATATATGATTTCATTTCCTTTGGTTTTCCTTTTAATAACCCCATAGTAAATTTTACTATTACTAAATTAAGTTTCAAATCTAGACAAGCAAAAACTCCATAAAACGATTGTGTAGAAAATACTAAATTAAGTTTATAATTCTAAATATTCACAAACTAAATGTTTAGCATTTTTGCCGACAGATGTTCAAATGAAATTTTAACAACAATAACATTATATGTTACAATAAAAGAATATAAATAAATAAATATTTGCCGACGATCATGAAGAATGGAAAACGATTATGTAAAAAGGTTGAATATTTTTAATCTCCGTATAAAGAAATGAAAAACTAAATGTTTGTGTATATTTAGAATTGTCAATAGTTGCGGTAATAAATTACTCAAAAAAATTGTATATATCAATGCGTGCGGTAAAGGTCGAGACATAAAAATGGAAAATAGAACAGAAAAGAATATTTCTTTATAGAGTATGCAAAGAAAATTGGACTAATCATGGAGTTCACGTGGATAATGTTAGCCTTGTAGTTGTGTATATACACGAGTATATATGTTATGTGTATCAACCCTTTGTCGGAATTTTTTTTTTTTGGACTTTGGTTTCTAATTTTGAATATTTTTTTCTCTTGTGTGTAATTTTGGAGTGCAGACGGAAACTGCTTTATTTCTCATTCCTCTTGAAAATTAATAAGAAAATAAATGGGAAGGAATGTCAAACCCTAATATGGGGGAAATGAAAATATTTAAATAAAAAATAAAAAATAAAACTTGGGTTTCTTTTGGCATACTCCCATGTTTTCTGCCACTAAATATTTTCTTTATCCGCATCGAGATTAAAATAACATAGCAAGCATCATGGTATGTCATTTCCATGATGTATATATATATATGTGTGTATTGTATTTTTTATGTCAACTTTGTAGGTGTTGGTGGGGACAATCGACAATGGAACCATGGTTTATGGATTCTCCAACAAAATCATCCACGCTTCGTGAGGTAAAGAAACAAATACACTTAACCACCACTCCAAGTTCCACTCTTCACATTGTTTTTATTATATATATGTGTGTGTGTGTGTGTGTGTGTGTGTGTGTGCATTTGTACATAGAAGAGCTAAAAGTATATATTATCGGTGATACACATGATATTAATATTGTATTTTGTTAATTCCATTTAAATTATTTTAAATAGTTAAGCTAATGGCATGGGTCTCCATGACCCCTTTGTCCATTATTATGCAATGTAATAAAAAATTGTTTAACATGCGTGAGTAGGTTAACGTATATTTCTCACGATATAAAGTATGAATTAGTGAAAATAAACAGATTTATTTACAAAGGTTACATTTTGAAATTCCTAAAATTTTAAGGTAGTGGTTAATAACTCAAAACATATTATTTCGCTGAAAATTTTAAATTTATTTATAAAAACACAAATATCAATAAATCGATTGGACATGTTTCCCTTTGATAACACCAATGTGAGAGAGATCTTTTGGGTTCTCGTTTACATTGTAATTCGTTTACTTTAGTGTTCGATTATTTTAATTCGAATTATATTAAAAATTATTTATTTTTCAAGAAATGTTTTTATTTTTCCAATATTTTTAATTCAATTTTTATTGCTACATGATTACAGAGTATTCAATTCAGTTTTACATACTCATCGAAGTATTTTCCCACCACCAACCAATTCAACCGATCAAGTAAAGGTTTATATAAATATTGTTATAACAAATTATATATATATATATGTATATCCTTTATAAAAGGGCTTAATTAAGTGTATATATAATAAAAAGAAATATGGGGAAAAAAAAGTAAAGGATGACATAAAAAGTAAGTATCTTTATAAGATTAATTGCCTTGGGTTTAGGTTCATTATGATAGGTTTAAAGATTCCATCATCAAACACGTGCGTATCGCACGCTTATCATTCTCATGCCTATATATACATACACGATACATATATAGTCACCCTACCCATAACGACGTTTACGTATCATGATCAGAAATTAATAAACAACTATTATTAAGACTACGTTATAGTTTTGTAGAATACAATCCAAATAAGTATATGGGTAGGAGGTTAACAAAAATATATATATGCGTAGGATATTTTTTGTTCGCATATCTATATCAATGCTGACTAATTTATTTTAGTTTAAGCGATCGATGATGACTAACGACGAGTATGTATGATAATGATGATGATAATGATATATTGAATTCAATTGTAATATCATTTTGAATTTTAAATAATTCATCGTACAATAATCATATATCGTGGTTACGTCACAAAGTACTAACACACGTTTTGCATCGTTTTGCTTTAGAACAAATACACATATATTATATAGTCCGAATTCTATAAATAACGATACATTTTACTACTGTTTTTA